TTAGAGCTAAATAAAGAGAGCTACTTTCTCTTCTTTTCTTCTGGGAAGAGCTCCAATGGCAAGCTGGGTTTTATCAGAATGTGGTATTAAACCTCTCCCCAGATTCTTCCCTAAACCCAGAACCTCTTTCTCCTTTAACCCAACACTCTCCTTCAACTTCAATCCACCAAGTACACTACCTTCTTCTCGATATGGGTTCTTCAACAGAACCAAGAACTGGGCGTTAAATGTGACCACACCAATAACAACTCTTCAATATTCTTCATCTGAAGAACACACGAAGAGATTTGATCCAGGTGCGCCTCCTCCGTTCAATTTGGCAGACATTAGAGCAGCAATACCCAAGCATTGTTGGGTTAAGAATCCATGGAGGTCAATGAGTTATGTTGTGAGAGATGTTGCTATCGTTTTCGGATTGGCTGTTGTAGCTGCTTACTTCAACAGTTGGCTTCTCTGGCCCCTCTACTGGTTTGCTCAAGGAACCATGTTCTAGGCTCTCTTTGTTCTTGGACATGACTGGTATGTCATATTCTGTGTCCGAACAAAATTTGGATTCTGATACTGACAAAACTGTCAACATCATATACTATAGTATAGACCAACCAAAGTGGCAACTTGCAAAGTGTTTAGGTCTCCTTTTGCTCATTGTTCCTGTTGATTAACTTGCAGTGGACACGGTAGTTTCTCGAATGATCCAAGGTTGAATAGTGTGGTCGGTCATCTTCTTCATTCCTCAATTCTGGTCCCTTACCATGGTTGGTGAGTTTTGCTTCCACCAAATCCCATCAATACAATACAAACCTTTTCTCTCTTTCTCTCTGAAATGAATCACTTCTCACTTTCTTCATGACTTTTCCTTGTAGGAGAATCAGCCATATAACTCACCACCAGAACCATGGGCATGTCGAGAATGACGAATCTTGGCATCCTGTAAGTTCAACTCTCTCCATAACCAAACACATATGTTGTTAAAACCTGGTTTTTTTCGTTTACTTAGATATAGCTTATGTTTCTGTCACTGCAGTTACCTGAAAGCATCTTCAAGAATTTGAAAAAAACGACTCAAATCTTTAGATTTACACTGCCTCTACTTGGTAATCCCTCTGCATCTTACTAAGATCATTCCACCTGGTTATATAACATCTGTATCAGTGTGTTATTGATTGCAGTGGGGAAGAAGTCCAGGGAAAAACGGTTCTCATTTTCATCCTGACAGATTTGTTTCTACCGAAAGAGAAGAAAGATGTTCAGACATCAACTGCATGTTGGACTGCAATGGCTGCTTTGCTTGTTTGTCTCAACTTTGTCATGGGTCCAATCCAAATGCTCAAACTATATGGCATTCCTTACTGGGTATCTGATGCTGTAACGGTTCTTCTATTCCTCTGTTTTCTCTTATGTGAAGGTATTTATTGGGATTTCAATCACGATTGATGCAGATATTTGTAATGTGGTTGGACTTTGTTACTTACTTGCACCACCATGGCCATGAAGACAAGCTCCCTTGGTACCGTGGGAAGGTATGCAAATTCTACTTCACTGTTTTTAATCGCTTCTCACTTTAATCGAGCCATTGCTGTTGTCTGAATCTCAATGTACAAACACCAAAACAGGAATGGAGTTACCTGAGAGGAGGGCTCACAACATTGGATCGTGACTATGGATGGATTAACAACATCCACCACGACATTGGAACTCATGTGATACATCATCTTTTCCCGCAGATCCCACATTATAATCTAGTAGAAGCAGTAAGTTGTATTCTTGTTGATATTGTGTATAAGAATATTTGAGGATGGACTTGCTTTGATATGGTAACGGTCAAAGTGCTTAACTTCTCCATATCTGTTTTTTCCCCCTTTTTCTAGACAGAAGCAGCTAAACCAGTTCTAGGGAAGTACTACAGGGAACCCAAAAACTCTGGACCCCTGCCACTTCACTTACTAGGAAGCCTCATAAGAAGTATGAAGCAAAACCATTTCGTAAGCGATACCGGAGATGTCGTGTACTATGAGGCATATCCAAAACTTGATGGACAAAGAACTTGACAACAGACTGCAGAGAAGCAGGCAGACAAGTTCAAAATTCATCTTGGCCCATTCTTTATGTTATTTTTCTTGTGGTGCAATAGCTTTTGGGAGATTGAAAAGCATTAATTTGTAGAAACATGTGGTAAAATTATCAATCTGATGAAAATTGTATGATCAGATGGATATATTTCAATCTAATCATTGAGAGCCCAATGGCATTATTATGGTAGCCAAACCAACACTTGTAATTTAAATTTATTATTGATGAAAAAGACAGGGCATTATTTTCTCAGCCTATTACAGTTCCAAACACAACGACATGGAAACAACAGGCTGATGCTCGAAACTATAGTTACAAGATCAATAACCTTGGCTTTGTTGCTAGCCATTAGTACTGTACAGAGCGAACTGCAGTCATGAAGGAACTTATCTTCGACTGATCCTTCTGGATGCCGTCTGTGCCACAAATACCGCTGCTAACATCAATTCCATCAGGTTGAAGAGTAGAAAGTGCTTCGGAAACGTTTGTCGGATTGATTCCCCCAGCTAAGAACCACCCATTTCTGCTTCTAATGGATGGTAACTTGAACTGAGCCCAGTTGAATCCTTTTCCACTGCAGAGAATGAACATTGTGTACAAGAGAAAGATGGTATTGAGTCGCTTGAGCCTTAGTCAATATTAATAAAGGATGCAGGTACAACTCAAAGCACAAGCGTTCAACGTACCTCCCACCCTTTGCACTATCCACAAGAATCCAATCAGCGAGATGACAATCCTCTTCAGGAACTTCATTTAGGAGCTTTCCATCTTCACTTGCATTAAGGACATATATGACTCTCCTTTCTCGTACTAATCCCGAGAAAGCAGCACGCGAGCCATTACCATGAAGCTGGAAGAAACCATAACTATCAACACTTTAGAAAGTAAAGAAAATCACCATAAGAATGTTGTATATAGACAACCTGCACAAACTCAAGGTCTGATGCATCAGCAGCTCTCAGTATTGTGTCTGCATCATCCTCAACAAAAACACCAACAGGTTTGGCCCCACCTTCCCTCGCCACTTTGGAGATATCCTTTGCAACGGAGAGGGAAATGGAACGTTTTGAATTCGGCCAAATAATCATCCCGATGAAATCAGCACCAGCTTCAACTGCCATTGCAGCATCTCTAGCTGATGTGATACCGCACATCTTAACCAAAGGTATATCCTTTCCTCTTTCACCAGCTAAATTCTCTGTGTTGGAAATACTATTGCAGCTAAATTTCTTCTTTTGAGCATAACCGACCCTCAAAAAAGACACCTTTCGATTGCTTAAACCTGAGCACATCAAGTACGTAACAAGATTCCATTGGAAAGTTTCAGTTAATCACCAGAAACAAAGAAACACACACACACAATGTAATATAAAAATCAACAAAACCACTAGTGTCTTACTGGATTTGTAGGTTCTGGAGAAACTCAGAGCTCTTGGATGCAGATGGAGATCTGAGGATAAACCTGACGAAAAGAATAAAGCTTTTCTCATCACTAATAGAACAAAATGAAGCTCTTTGAGTAAATACATCGAACAAGTTATCTGCATTAGTCAACCAAGCTCATCATCAAAGAAAAGTACATGTGGACATCATATATCTCCGTTGTGGGAAATCGGAGAAGATGTTGGAATTTTTTTCCCGGCGATGAAAGGAGAAGACGATGCCAGTGAAGACGGCGGTGGTCGTACGGCGGAAGAAGAGCAGAGAATGACGGAGAAGAAAATGAATCTACCAAACTTTTTGATTAGGT